GAACAAAAACTTTAACGTTGAGGAAACATTGAACGTTTTTTAGACCTGTGAGTTATTTCGCTTCCGATCAGTTAGGACTGGTTTAATGAAACCATCAAAATGACCTTGGGAATATTAAAAACACTTGCTCAGCAGCGATATCCTAAGATTTCCGAATAACAGCTCTTGTAGCCCAATGCTTCGTTTGATCATTTGTTCAGGTATTATGATATGTATGAGGCAAGTGGTGAAATAATAAACTTAAGTTTGTATAAATACTGCATATCTCACTCTTGCAAATAGATGGAAATCTTCCGTACCGTAGGTTTACTAGATATAAGTTTTGTGTTTAGCCCCATGGCGCCATCAGTGTCACCCCCCGTGACGCCATGACCTTCTTAATTAAACCCACGCGTCTATAATGCAAAATAGGAAAAGTGCAACTCGTCGCGTCTTCGGTAGTCTATTTCCCGCCGAGACCCTGCTGGCGAACATGCTCAAAGACAATTAGTCCGCTGTGTTTTAATGAAAAACCTGTAGTTTTACTCAAATCAACGCTATTAACCCGTTAGTATTTTTTCCAGCTACATTGGAATGATGATAAGTCAATTCTACGGAAATGGCGAAGTTTCTCCACTTTCAAACACGGTATCTTGGAAAAGCAGAATTTATCAATAAAGATCAATTTAATTAACATTTTTAAGTCTTTTGAGAACTGATTTGACTAAAACATTATTCGATTTTAAAAGACGCTTGACTTCAATTTGATGAATTTAGTGTTTTTGAGATAATGTCGTAGTTTTGCTAAGATTGAAAGCGTCCAAATAAAACAAAAGGTTTTGCAATTCATGAAGGCCTACTTAAAAATGTAATTTGTATCAAAATTGCTAATTGTATGGAGTTTACTTAGAAGCCATCGAAATGACACTCAACTCAATCCAGTCATGACATTTTGATGGAGACAATTCCATTAAAAAAAAAGACCTTGTGATTGAAAATGTTTATAGCTCAAGGTTTAGACCTTATAAATCACATATTATAACTATCTTTTCCTAAGGAATCGGTTTCGCAGGCAACGGAACAGGTACTAATGGCTTAGTGCTCCTCATAAGTGGGCCATTAAGAGCTTAATAAGGTGGACCATTAAAACGACGATTTTATTAAGTTACTCGCGTCAACTACATTGATAAAGTCATTTTTCGGGCTTCAAAATGAATCTAAGTTAACCAAATTATCGCCATATAGTCCTTCCCTCTCGTCCTAGCAGGTTTTCTGTATGAAATATATTGAAGTCCTTTATGACTGCATCATCAGTATTGCAGAAAACGCAGTTTATGGTCTATTTTGATCACCACTGCCTTGTGTTTTGCTAGTTTATACAAGAGCTGTTCAAGTCTTAATGTGTAATTTTTTTTGTTTCAAAATTCAAATTTAAAGTCATTTGATCAGCTAGTTAACTTCTCACCAGTATTTGTCAGTTTATTCCGTCGAATTATGAATCACTGTCCATGCCGACCCCTATTAGCTGAACGAAATTGATGTCTCTCTTCTGTCAGTATGTTGTGTAAAATGGGATCGCTTCCAGATCGGTAACACAGAAAAGCAAGGGCATTAGGATTCCAAAAGCATTACCTGGTGAGCAAGTTAATTTGCCTAGGCGGCTTTATTATTTGAGAGGATTTTACATTCTCGTATTACATTAAAAATCGCTTCAATTTTTATAAAAATAAGCCATTACTTAACGGACATTGATATGCAATGAGCCACCCACGTTTTACTTAAATTTTCCATTATCCTACGGCTCGTCACTAGCAGTAGCTATTTAAACGATGCAGCCCCCTTCAATTTTTTTTCAAAGCTTCCATATTTGAGGAACTCTAAATTTCTAATAAGAATGTTTAATATAGTAGTCGGGAAACGACGGCTTTAGTATCCAATATCTTTACAAAATAACCGAGCTTTCATTTCCGCTTCACCTTTTCCCATAAGCAACTAAAGATTAACGTAAGGTCCCGACTTGCAATTGTTAATTAAAGAAACCCTTGCATATTTTAACCGACTGTTCCTTTCTTGGTGTTTTTAAAAAAAAATTTCACAGCTGTTTTTCTTATTCGTTGGTCTTCCTATTCCGTAGGTTTAAACCCTTAAAATACCGCGTTTGGAGCGTTCTTAAGAAAGTCATTATCAATCGCGTCTGTAGCTCAAAGGGCTGGATGATGTCTGAGTAGAGGATGAATGCCATTGAATGCTATTTTGAGATGTTGCATGTCACTGTAGATGCACTTTTAAAGCAGAGGTCAAGGTTGGTGCCCGTTTTATTAACACCTCTGTCAAGTCACACGTATGTGACGGGTATATGTTATTAGATCACCATAACTGGATGGACCAGGTCTTGTTAGGAAGGGAATGCTTGAATCTGCAACAATAGAGCTGCCTATCAGTGCTTCTGATCCCGTACAAATTGTAACTCTGTTACTTAAATAGTAGTTTAATAGTTAAAAATTATGACAAGTGGTAGTACTTTAGCACAACCAGGTGTCCAGACTGCGACATGTGATTCCCATCAGAAACCAATTAAATGGTCCCTTACAATATATTTATGCTTATTTTCCTCAGTTTTAAGCCCGTTTCTCAAAAATGAGAACGTATATTGTGTATTTATGCACTGAATGAGTCACGACCAAGTTGAACGCACCGCCGCTACGATTTTGAAATTGGAGTCATAAAGTGTAATTTATGCAGCTAGTAACAGATTGAGGTTGGGAATTTCACTTAACCCTGATGCTGGCCTTAAAACTCGTATATTCCGAAAAACTATGACATTTTACAAACAACATTTGAGGAATACCACCTTCATATCTTACATCTGTGCCTAAGCAGTAACATTTTACTGACTCTGCAACATAATAAAAATTTACTGGAAAACATGTGGTTTTTCAGAAACTACAGAGGAGTGAAATTGTATTAAAAATGGTGAACGATATATTTCTATATACAATGGTAGCAATAATTGGATGTTTGCCCACCAAGCACAGTGGAAATCTATGAATTAAGATTTTAAAAATAGATGCGAATCCAAGGTCATTTTATGAATCCGAAGCACTCCCGTAGAACCAAACACATCTGAGCAGAAAAGGTGGAATTTTACCCTAAGGCAAAACTTAGGGAGGTAATAATTGACAGTTTCTGATGGAGAGGTGCCCATCAAAGCATAAGAACTGCCTAAGGGCAAATGAAAGTGCGAAGTTTGCACAACACTATTATGATAAGAAAATGGTTTTTATGCAGGAAAGGGAACGGTTTAGTAGGAAGTTAAGCAATTAAAATAAAAGCATTTCGTGTACGAACTCCAGTGATCGTCAGCATATGTCCGATGGATATGTGTATGCGGGTTTTGACTACGCCGTATAAATAGAATAGGCTTTTATAAAATCACGCATGCTTCAAAATGCAAACTGTGAATCATTGCATCAAGATAAAAATAAATAAGTTCGGTCCTTATTTGCCAATGTTCTTACGCAAGACCACCGAGGCACCAGCAGCTTCCGTACGCACATGCTCGGAGATTGGTTGTACTTCTCACAAATGCAACAGTGCCCGTATACTCTTCTGGTATATTTTAAAACCAAGATTACATTACGTTACATGTTTGTTTAATTCTCGGTCTTGGTAAGGGGCCACTTAGGGGTTTCGCCATTGTACTTCCGCCGGACATCCTGGTCTCCAGGACTTGCTAGTGCCTCCATGCTCTACTGTACGTCGATAATACATGGTTCACCCAAGCATTGTTCTATTTCGCCTTTAGGGAAGTCTCAGGGCCCTAGTAGCCCGTTATTCTCGCTGCAACTATTCTTTTTGTGTTCTTCAAGCTAACTGTGTGCATAGAAAGCTAACGCGTATGCTAGCTTCTAGCAACGGTGAATACGATTACGTTACGCCTATATTATTTTCTTATGCGGTAAGAGAAATATTCCTTGAAAATTTCGATTAACACTGAAACCTCCTTTATAATGGAACAATCATATGAACCTTAGTTGAAGAGCGAAAATTGTGGAACACCATCTTCTTCCCACCTCGGACTGCCGCTGGGAATCCTTACTGTCGTAACCGATATCAAGGAGCATAGGAAAAAAGAAATGGACGTTGTAAAACAGATTGATTAAAACTTAATTGTTTATTTCTAAAATAAGAGTGGAAAATTTTTTCACCAAAAAATACCTTAATCCAAGAATCTACTTTGCCTAACGCAGCAAACGTTTGACCATACTTGTTGAAAATATTAGGAAAACGCCAAATTCATCATGTGAATCAGTGATAATTTCATAAAATCCTTGGTGCTTAAGTAGGAGCATTGAATTTTCAGAGAACAAAATTAGTAATTTATGATCCTCTGAGTTGATTATGTCTATCTGTGAACCAACGCCTCACCTATTGGACCTACAGAGCCGTCGCTCAGGAAGTATTTGAATAAAGTGGCCAGTCGTAATTGTGAGTAGGACGAACCAGGAACTGTTTCGACATCTTTTTGAAGAGACGGGTCCGGGGTTGGAGGGATTGTGATGGTGGCAGCCTCCGCTAAGCCCCTTAAGGCGGCTGCGCAAAGAGCAAACGACGGTCTTCTGAGTCAAAGTAGACCAGCTGCCAAAGTTGGCTGCTGCACATGTGTTGTATGCTTCACGTGGACATAAAGGTAGGAGTAGGGGAAGGGGCGCGTTTCAATTAGCCAGTGACTTAGCTTTACAATGAGTCTAATTGATGGAGCTTGTAGTTAATGGTGGTGGTTGTAATGAATAGACAATGACAAGCTGAGCTCAGACAATAGACCTTACCCAGAAAGTGATGCCACTAATGATATTTATTTTTATGCTTCTATTAGAAGCTCACAATAAAAATAGCAATAATAACAACTATGGGTGGAAATGCTGCGCTTGTGCTCCCTAGGCCTTAAGCATATAAGGGCTTTCTTCACTTAAGACAAGGAGTAGATTAACTGTAAATGTAAATAAGCGTTAGAATACGAGATGAGCTTAAGTCAACGTAAAACATTTAGGCTCACAGATATGACGTATAAAAAGGTTTGGCACCGTGGCGACAAAACACTTAGCAGTAAGGGCTAAGCAAACCATCTCACATATACACAAGACTTGCAGATGCGCATTTCTTGCGTGAGTTAGTCCAGAACATCCCGGACACCGTTCATCGGCTCATCAGGTTTTCAAGCAACAGTAGTGCGTGCCTGTCCACGCAGAAGTGCGCGTTGACAGACGATGCCTCTTGTCAACGAGGAGGTTAAGTCCGAATGCTCACACCTCTACCTGTACGGAAGGCTTCAAATACAGTAGGTATAGTGATGGCAGGCTCAGCAACTCAGCCACTTAAAAACAGGAGAATAATTAGGTGGTTTGAGGGTGAGCGCTTCAAAAACGTCAACATATCTATGCGTCGGTGATCTGAGTAGCGGTGGTTCCCATATCCTAGTCTTGGTAGTCCAATCTGTAAACAATTGGCCAGGGCATTGAGCGCCTAATTCTGGACGTCCGTTTGGTGCTGGATCGTAGGACGAAGTTTTACAAGAAAGGTGAGCACTATCGTACCCAGAGGTTTTACTTCCGTGTGGTTTATGCACGCTGCGACAAGGCAAAGTGAAGTAGGGTGCCATTGAAAGGCTCAAATGTGTTAACACATTTTTATCCGCCAAAGGTTTTGGGATATTATGTAACCACTGAAATAAGTGGATTGATGTGAAAAGAGTGGGTTGCTGAAAGATGCGTGCAGGTGGCACTTCCTGAGGTTTGTAGCCCTCCTCATGTATGTGCAGAAGTCCTACTTTGATTTGAATATCAGTCAGAACATAAATTAATCTATTTTACTTTATTAAACGATTTGTTACTCTTAATTTTAAATTTGTCCTTCCTTACAATTCAGAAAATATTATTTGGTGTAAACAGACTCAAAAAGTTTATTTCTGGATATTATAGGCAAGACAAGGGGAGAAAGATGAATGGTAAGATTTGGTTGGAAGTTATGCAAATTGAGTTTTAATACTAGTAATGTAATTTTTAAGACATAGTGTATTTTACGTACAAATCAAATGAAGATCTTCAGATAGGAACGTTTATTGACGATGATACTATTTTGGATGGGTAAACACAACAGCGGTGCTTTGCATATGCTCAAAAACTATTCTTATCATAGAATGGAAGTAGGTTCGTGGGGTGGCTAACGGGTGGAACAGCTACACAGAACTTTCATTTAACAACGATTTATTTGAATAGCTTTTGATACAAAGTCATAGGAGTGTTTTCACGCGTTCTTCTGTCACTACTGAGATGTTTATTGTTTTAGTATGGCTTTTATTTTTCTAATTCATTCAACCAGCTAAAGCGGTACTTTAAAGTATAAAGTTTGTGTATCTTCGGATCGAGAGTACTCCGTATCTGTTTAATTATTAAACCTACACGATCCCTTAGAATGGACAAATACTGAACACATCATATTTTCGAAACTAGACGCAGGTAAGAAAATTGGGATGTGATATATGTGCGACTCTAGAAAATCCAAACAGAAATATTTCACTGATGGCGTGGGTGAATTGTTTTTTAGCAAAAATGATACGTCAGATTCGAGGAAAATCTTTGGCGGAACTGCGTAGACTGATCGAGAAATATCGATATCACTGCCTGCCTACCCAACCCTGGTTGAGTCAAGTTTTCGATCTCAGCAGTAGAGTTTCCACTAACATTAGCGGTAACTAGATTTTTGTCACGACTTTGTCCGCTCTAATTTGCTTCCTTAATATCACAAAGACCGCAACATGACACGAAACCCAGTAAAACTTCCAGGCATTTGTCGTGAGAGCCACCTTGTTAGCTCTGTCAATTATTTGTTTTGGTTTAAATTTGTGTTATTCTTACTGTTAAAATGTATGAATCTGTATTGGCTTTGAGGTGCCAAGTGCGGTTTTAACTTTCAAACTAGAATTTTATGCTCTATTTCATTCGTAGATGGAAATAGGGAATAAGGAACCCAAAAGGTGCCTTAATAGATCGCTTGAAGTATTTGCGGCACAGATAAAATTTCAAATCGTGATTTACAACTTCGTGTTGAAGATTAGAGTTGTTCATATGCGTCTAGCTCAAAGACAATCAACTGAAATTATGGTAACACAAGTTTATGCGTTACTTGATGAAAGCTAGTAACCCAAAAAGGCTTGAGTCAAATATCACTTATTGGCTAAATAAAGTAGCTTAAACTAGTACCTTTTGCTTCGACTAGCTGAGTTATTCAAGGAAAGGACGCGATTTCCGAACCCTATAATTGTGTACATCAATGCTCTTGGCGTCCCACAGTAGTAGCAAAGAACAACAAACTGCGATACATAATTTGAACCAATTTAAACTAATTAATAAGGTTAAGAAGCCAGATATCTAAGAGGGATTCTTTGTGTTAAGTAAACGAACGTCAAAACGAAATAACTTGGTAGTTTTTTCCTGTTTCTCTGGCACTATAAAGAAGAGTCATGGTAACTCTTCATAAATTGATACTTCATTTGCTACAACCAATGTATATGATTGCACGGGATACTAAATTAGAGTCTGATACCAAAAACTAATCAAAAAACAAATGCTGTTGCAGCGCTTTGGTCATTCCAAGGGAAGTACTAAAGCATATCTGTCTGGAAACTGGTCTATTACCAACGTAAGTAAAAGTGGGAGACCATAGATATGACTAAAAAAACCAAGATACTAAGATGGCGGTGTGAGTGCAGAGATCAAAGGGCTCACTTCGTCAAATAGGCAGGATAGACAAACACCGTTCTGTGATCGGCTTAGAGGTCTACTGCTAACCTTATATGCTAAAGACTGGAAAGACCTGGTCTTTCTGTGATAGCTGGATAACAGCAGATGTTTAACGCAGCTGCTAGGACGAAAGGACGAGGGGGTCTGTGATTAAATCTCCGAAATTTGTGTAGACACTAAACTAGGGCTGACCTATTCTCCTGTAATCCAATCCTCGGAAACGGTACGAAATAGTGCAGTTAAGACATCGACCACTGTTAATCCCTTTTACAATATATTACATCGACATCACGCTGCACCCTTCATCTTTTACGATACTGATAGCACCCAACTCATCTCGAATGCCATTATTATACAGGTCTCCATATTGTCGACCATAATAAATGAGTTAAAGCTGGGATTAGAAAACCGAGTTTACTGTAACATTCTGGGCGTCTACATTAAATGAACTGCCTCTTTACAGTTCTGAAATGAACTGGACCTTTGACCCAAACCAGGCCGGTGTTTCATTTTAATGCGTGTTTAACCGTTTTTGTTCAGACTTAAAAGACCGTAGATACGAATATTTTCATCGCTTAAACAAAGTGTGAATGCCTACATCGTTTTAAAAATAAGTTGTTGAAGTTATATTAGATGCAAACGCATGGAGTAATTGATAGCAATTCAACCAGCTTAGTCCAGATTCATACAACTATTAGTTAAAAAGTACATTTGGTGTTTATCCTCAAGAATGATTTATTCTCTCGAACACATTTATTTACCTTACGGTTAATAAGGAAATTGCACACTTGCTAAAACACTCGAAGAGGGACGTAGTTTACGCCTAAACGAGGACCTGGTCAAAGTAAGTACTCGTTGCTACCGCGGTGTGATTTATCACTTTTGGCAATTTAAACTCTCCGAAACTACCTGTTTACATAGACTTCAAAAATTGTCTGTGTACCATGCATTCGCTAGAATTCTACTTAGTACCAACATACTCACGCAAATATGGATAACACAAACTTATTCCTTCACTCCTGCTCCCTCGATTGAGACTTAAAAACTGCTGTTGGAGACTGCGGTTTGCCCAAGTTTTGAGAAACTGAGCTTAGTTATCGGTTCCCCTTATCTTCAAAATAACCCACTAAATATTCAAGGTCGTGTGGCTCTCCACGTTATTTGTTTATAATATGTAGGCAAGTGGTTTATGACTAAGCTCCGAAAATGCAAATACTAGCATTGACATTTGAGGGTGACTAAATGCAGTGCCCCGATGGTAAATCCTGACTCAGAATCAGCTGGCTATCTGCTTTAGTCAAATCCCTTCCCCTTGTTGTTCTAGTTTAGATTAAACTGGTGCTAACAAAGATTCTCCTAAGTTCCAAGTAATTGTCATAATGACCTCCGAACAACCTATACAGTATTTTACACTCGTAAAAATTGATGGATGATCGTACTAAATTTATGGACTGTACCTGCAAAAGTGTGGCTTCTGAGATATCCTCGAAGAATCCGCAGGGCATACAAGTCTTTTTCAAGTGTACAGATACCTCGGATGCAGTCATTTGGAGTGGCTTCACGTTCCACTGCCAAAAATTTTACCTCACGAGTTACCCTCAAGTGGGAAAGGACTGGGAGACTGATAGCACCTTATGGAGCCATGTAACTAGCATGACAGCCGGAAGACTCAAAAAGACTGTAAACTTTTAAAAACTTTTTAACTTTTCTGTCACAAAAATTCATTAGCTCTTCTCCAATATCTACTGAAAATTAATGGCGTGAAAAATCCTGACGAAATCTCTACAGAAGACTTCGAGGGTCTCACTCAGCTCCCCATCCAGTGGCCTCTACCTGTGTCTCTGACTTATTCATAAAGGAAACTAATATCGCAGTATCAACCTTGGATGACTAACGAATGATAGAGAGAATGGAGAGAGGGGAGTGCGAGTAAATCGCCACTGCGGCGTAATTAGCATTTCATTAGTTCCGGCCGTGGCTTAGTCCGCGGCTCTGTTGATGCCGTCCCAGCTCACGGACGGACCATGTGTCGGCAGTCTGATACGGAAACCGCTCGATTACCCGTCTATTTAATTTACCCGCTTTGAGGCCTCCGAGAGCAGATGTTAAAAGGCGACAATTTTATCTTTACCTTATGAGGGGCTTGAGTCACATCTATCATCACTTCAATTTATACAAATGGGTAAGGCTTAGAAAAATCCACAGACATTCAAAGTAAAATATTGTGACTTTTGACCAAAATCTTGCTTAAAAACATGAGGATAGTATTAAAATAGAGACGAATGGATTTTTGTGTTTGTCAGTTGTAGAATAATATGCCCCGATGTCACTCGTCTTTCTACCAGACAAGAAAATTGGATACTTCGGCCCGTTGATCGGGTAGCTTTCCGCATATGTTCCTTACTGTTTGATACTATCCCAACACAGGTGATACGACTGAATTTCGCTTAAATAATCAACCAACCAAAGCGCATCTCAAGTAGTGTCTGACAGCAATTAGCCAAAATGATCGCCCTTGGAAAATGACACACTCCAGAGGTCATAAAATTTTCCAGGATAAAATGGAGAAATGGATGCAGGTTAAGTTTCCCTAGACTCTCACTGATCATTAGGCTAAAGGAAGTTCGTGAAGGTATCCTGAGGATGCATATAACTACTGGAAATGGATTTTGCTCTAATCCATGCCGAACAATTGTATAATTGATGCCATCCTACTTAGGGTAATGTGATAAGTTATATAGCGATGATGTTGGAGCTAAAATCATGAAGTCGAATTAGATGCAGCCGAACTAGCTGTACAGCCGTTACGAGACAGCACTATTCAAAGCGTACAGTTGGCATAGAGGCTGCAACAAGGCAGATTGAATGCAAACAATTATCAACACACTATACGTATTATGATTTTGATTTAGCCTTAATGCTCCTAATCAGTATATGTCTACATTCCACACCATTTCAACGGTATTATGTAATAAAACCGATCTTATGATAGGAAAGTGATTTCTATTGTAAAAGAGTACCTTATTTGAATTAAAGAGATATTTTGGGCTGCTATATCAGCAACATTCCTTGGTGGATGATGTGTACTAAAAAATTCGTTTGGCCAGTACATCTGAATGCTGGATGATTTTGCCTACAACTCAATGTTTCGTATCTAAAAATAACAGTAAATTTTTGAGCAAATTAAATAACAAGAAATTTCTCAGCAATTGCATCCTAGCCCAACTTTTTTTCTTCCACTCACCTGTTATTTTTGTTCCGTTTAGCCGTTTATCTAAGTAATTTCCGGGCCCTTAAAACGTGGCCATTACTCATTGGTCACCATCCTAGAACGAACATTTCCGAAGCTAACTTTTGTTACGGGCTAACTCTACCAAGCCTTTTCACTAAACAGTCCAGAAAAACAAGGTTCTAGCCGATAAAAGTTACTATGCGTCATCTTTTGTAGGTCTTCACAAATCCCATCCCTTTTCCCTGTCATCTATCCATTCAAATGGATGCAAACTTTCTTTTAAATGCGGTCCAGAAATGGAAGGAAGATGGTTGCTTGCCTAATTTTTTTAATTATTCTTTAGGCAGTAGAGGTTCTAAGGCTCAATCCAATGTACGACAACCAAAGTGGCACCCAAATTACTTTATAAAATTACAAAGTCTCCGATTAGCTTTATTATAACAAATTAGATGGTCTGCGGGGTAGAAAGTGTAATGGAGTGTTTGGATGTAAAGGGAATGATCAAATTATGCCATGGATAATCAAACCAAGCATAAATACATAATAAGTGACTTTATGGTTCCTAATTTTGACTAAGTAATTTAACCAGTTAGTCTAAATTTCCACAGTGAAAGTTACGTAAGTGAGTGATGTAATCTCAAAAAGACCTGACCTCTTCATAATTATAAAAATACCACAAATTTATCAAACAAACAAAATCAGCTCTCTTGAAATGTATGTATATTCGGGCTAAATTAATATTATTTCTTTATAAACTCCAATTTCTTTAGTTTATGTTTCATACTGGTGTGAACATCAAAATCTTCACTGTGAATTTCAACAGATTTCGTTATCCATTTGTAGTCGAATTTATCGTCACTGCATTTAATTTATTAATAGCCATCTTTAAAACATTATTTTTAGGAAGCCTGTATTGTTTACATGCATGGACAATCCAAGTAAAGTACTGATGAGGTGCTGAGCTGCTGCAAGTGGTCTTCTCGGTGAGCGCACTCACGGCACCTGCCTGGATGCTACGGCGCTTTATTCAACGGCATTCCCACTTTCCAGGTTAGTCTCGTATGCGTCCGGCGTCACAACGCAGCCTCTTCATATGTGGACATGGGGAGAGAGATGGGGGAGAATTGGTTATCACATAGGCATGTAATTTATTTTTCGTCTTCGTCTGTACCTCCTCTTTGCACACACCCACCCCTGTTAGTCACAGTTGCTTGCTTTATAATGATGACAATGGTGGCGTCGTTGTCACTGCATTTATGCGTCGTTTTCCCTAGACTCCCTTGTTTCTCTGTGTCATCCCCCCAAACAGTCTTGGAACCTTCGATTAGTTTACGGGGTTTAAGTATTTTGGCTAGTTATGCTTGCTGATATCTTGGGAGTGTCATATTGTCATTGGTTGATTTCCCAGCCATCGAACAGTCTGTGCAGATCATGGACACCTTAGCGTTCGCCCAGTTTAGCGATTTCACAGTTGATTACAAAAATCACGATGGGTATAATCAAAGAGTAACCCACCAATGGGTACCTTAAATTAATAAGGAATTAAACGATAAAGTGAAACAGTTGAAAAGCAATAAAAAGTGGTGCTATTTGAACACAACTGCATCATGGGAGCGTTTTATTTTGCCATCAAGTTAATCAAGAAATACGGTAAATCGAGAAGGTATTCTACAGATAACTTCAGAGGCCCTTATTAATCAGCCATCCTATAAGTTAATGTCGTCTATTTTTCCTTGTTTTTGAGTCATTTCAGTTAAATATACTTATCGGCATTTATTAGTGGGAATGATCTTACGGATTTCTCTTTCTCAAATCTTTTCCTTTTGAGGGGCGTTGATGTTAATAGGTGCTTTGTAATTGGTCATGCTCATACGTCTCAATTTAATAAACTTTACCATTTGCTTCCAAAATTGCGTAATAATGGACTTAGCTGACATTCAATGCAACCGATGTAACTTTGGTTTTGCGGTTTATTATTGAAGAGATGAATTATCAAGTAGCTCGTATAATTGTTCTACCAATAATTCACATTTTTGCTCTGTTGCCATAAAAGCATAATTTGGCAACTGGGTTGAGTTTATTCGTACCTGCATCAGACAGTCCCGAGTTACATTGTGCTTTCGTCTGTTAATTTTTCCATTGTCTTGGCCTTTTAAGCAGTAAATTTTGGGTTTACTGCCGAGTTTAGTAGACTGGTAAGACGAAAAACGAGTGTAAAATCGACATCTGAGGTTCAAGCTCCTAATATTACAGAAGGTGGTTACCTTAGGTAGTCAATCTGATCAAATTATCATACTCCAATTTGTTATCCAAACATGTTCCTCGGTGTTTTTGAGTGCCTGCGTAAACTAGCAATAACAAACTTGTTACTTATTTTATTACCAAATTTGTTGTTTACAGAAGATTATAAGGTTAGTTTAGGTCATCCATCCCGCAAACTGAGCCAAGAAGAAACCCAACTTCTAAATTAGCGATTGAATGCCTTGATTTCTCCCTTGTGTAGATCTGTTGTTGCTTTAATCCCCTACTCGGTTCTCAATATGAGAGATTTAGACATTAACATTTCGAAATGATTCTCTGTTTCGCATACTTTTCATAACTGAATAAAAGCTAGATAATTTACTTTTTCCTATCTGATTTTATTTTGCCTTTCATTTTATTACTTATTCATTCCAAAAGGTGTTGTTGCAGTAATTAATTGCTTTCAAATAAAATTTGATTCAGAGGCACTTGTTGTTCATTATGAAGGAGTGAGGTTGGTTGTCAAGACGTCTACGGAGGTGTGTGGTGGATGATTCAGTCTTTACATCAGTTATGGTGGTATCATTTTGTGGGTTGATTGTGCCTGCTATAAGAAAAATTAGGAAGAATTTAATCACACTTTAAGCACCTTTATTGTATGTTGTTCTTTGTTTAAGGAATTACGCACCAAAAACCTTTCATCCGCTACCATAAGCTGCTCTATAATTAAAGTGGGTCCTGAAGATATCCTTGTTTTGATAGTGGTTCTTACCTGATTTTCATGCTCCGATATTTGGCCAAAAATAAATCTCCTTGTCTACTGAACAGAAGCGCGATCTCGCATATGTGTTATACCTTATTCTGTCATTTGAGTTAGTAGCCATTTCTGCACCATACACTGTTCTCAAGGGATATGTCAGTTCTTTAAAGCTAATTAGTTAATAAAGGATTTTAAAATTTGCTTTAGAAACCGCTTTTCTCAAAACCGGAAATTTTTCGTTAGCCTTTTCCATGTTGTCGAAAAATTGTTTACAGGACACCAAATATGTCAAACTGTGATGCTTTCTATTCCTTATCCTATTCCAAAATGCTGTGCATCTTAAATTATTCCTTTTCAGTGCCCCTCTACTTTGTCTACTTTTGGGGTATCACGATTGGAGCAATTATAGATTCATCTCGATGATACATTTAACCGGTCTCAAGTGCTCACACTTGGTTGCTTTTTCTGTCTATTCCAGAAAAGACAAGATGTCAAAGTGGCTACGACATAATGAGTCAGATGATTCATCCCTCAATTCTGTCTTGATTGTGACTATCTGGCGAGTCGGTGTTGTTTCGCGTCCTCCAAACTACACCAGGAAAGGTTCCCTATCTTCATGAAATTTATCATTCAAGTTCCTATTTTATACCTTGCACTGCTGGAAGGTTTAAGGTACATCAGCATTTTTACACTAAGTCACGGATCTACCAAACAAAACCCCCACAAATATGTTTAGAGACCCCAGTTTACTAATTTGTGATAAAAATATGGTAATGAAAATGTATTAGCATAAACAAGACGGCTAAGTGTATGGCGATTAAGCTCATTAATGGATCAAATAGGGGAAATTTTGCATCAAGGTGATGCCAGTATGAATCGTGCTTGCAGTGAAATTGAGGTAAATTCTGGTTAAATCCATCGTTTTGAGTAATCTCATCATTTGATAAACATTGGAAACATAGTTTTTCTGAGCTGCTTCAAAATGTTGCAATCATGACTGAAAATACATCCAGCACTTAAATTCCATTAAAATCCAAATATATATTCATTATAAGAATTAACTATCCATCTTCAGACCTAAATCTATTCCCACTAAATAACAGGCCAGTTGGTAGTTTTAAGAGGAAATGAACCAATAAATACACAAAGATCTCAAATTACCACGCGAAAGATTATGAAGCTCAGTTTACTTGTTTCTGCCAGAGAATTCATTCCAGGAACCGCGCTTAGCAACAAATCTGTTGTTCGGTTCAATTAACTCTAGCTAGCTGTCTTTGAATGCGCAGCAATAAATAGAATGAGTATAAAGTAGCCAAATTCTGCTTTAAATGAAATTGAAAGACACAAACTCGAAAGCGCATTGATAAGCAGCCCAAAATTTTGAAAGGATCGACCAAATTATGGTTGATTTTTTATTTGTGGCATAAAGGAAACAAATTCGCTCCCACTGAGGGATGTTATTGCACTATCGAGGAGTGAAATTTTTATTCTTGTCTTTTGGTTTGTTAATTTTGAGTAAAAATGCTCCAGGTTCACCTGCATGCCGCTGTTGTCGTGACAACCGCGCGACTTTAACTAGATAGAGAAATTTCTTGAGTGGAGCGGTGTGTGGCTGCGCACGCTTACTGTGATCCTATTCAAGACCTGACACATCTGTGCCGAAAGTGAATTGTGTAGAGTTGGAAGCCTTTAACCGGCAAAAGGTGAAATCGGACCATTCGTTCGGATAAAGAGCAGTTGGCTCCCATTCTCATCTCAGAGAAGCGTGACTCGTAGTAGAGTGTTACTTAGAGTTTGAATTGCCAGTATAATCAAAATATTTACAAAAAACACGATTAGGACACTAAAGATATGGCCTTTACCGAGAGAATCACAAACGTCCTTAATGGAAGTTGTGTTGTAGTAGGCGGATTCCGCTCCGACGAAGGAGTCGTTACTTAAGTTTAACGCAACAGAGCTACTGCCAATAAATTAGCTGCATCACGAAAAGTGGAGGTGAATTTATTTATTAATGAATCATAACGTGACATTCCCAGCACATTGCATACGTACATGCAGAATTAAAGCGGAAATCAGCATGTTGAATTTGACCTCTTGGGTAGGGAAAGAATTCATATATTTATGGTGTGAAGGTCTCTACATTCTGCGTTTTTGATCATCAAGTATGCTCTCCACTAACATTTGACGTGAAGACTTACTAATCCCTTAAAATGTAACCCAATAAATTTTCCTAATAAAAACAAGGAGACTTAATGAGTCCCCCAATGCACCTAATGCCTACTGTGTTGCGCTTTTCTGAAACTTCAAATTTGTGCATAAATTTGATGGAGTAATTAAGCAAAAAGGTTGAACGATAGAAATCAGAGGTTCACTAAAGGTGAACTAAGAGAAGCCTACATCAACTCTAGACTACTTAACTACTTTAAACAGTGACCAGTGACGAAAGTTAATCTTAGCAAAGAGACTCATGGTAGTTCTCAAGCTAAAGTCGGTTTGAACTGAATAAAATATGAGGACCCGGTGTCACTCCGAGATGCAAGTTGCTAGTAAAACTGCTCTAATTAGAGGCTAAGCAGCTCTAAGGGCTATAGTGTAACCATCCAATGACTAGCACCTTTGGGGGTGCTTTCATACTTTTTTTTTACTTCTTTCCCTTCTTAAGATAGGGATGTAGCCTAGCTAAATTGGCAAGTAATCCGCCAATTCATTTACCTTCAGTTATTTTAAAATTACTCGAGTTAGAAAACTTTGTGTTTCAATATTAAAGCGTAGTTCATATTTAATTTAATTAATAAAGTCACTAAACAATTTCCCCACTGATGCAAACGCGTCGCTGCGACTTACACCGGTCGGGTCAAAAAAACGACGTACCTGATACAATCAAGCGGATGCAGAAAATGCATATATTTCCCGTATATCTGGTATCGCATGTATTTAATCTCTTTCTACAGCTACTTTTATTGGTTTTTAAAGAAGGTGTTGTTTGCCGACATCCAAAATACCTCTCATTTTAACTTTTGGAACACGGTTAAATATCATTTAGTATAGGAAATGGTTTTCAGCTGGTTATTCGGCCATTGTGGCATTTCCACGGGTGAAAATCTCAACCATTAATACAATTAGATAAAATAAATGTTAGTTTAAGTAAAGTCACTCATTTTGTAGCGATCTGGAGGATGGGAAAGCTGAGTATAGAGGGCAGATCATTTCGTAAATTAAGCTAAACACGCATTTGAATGGATATGGTTTTATTAGATAGCTTGTCAAGACCTAAGGGAAGATCCGGGGTGACGCATTATATAGATAGCTAATTTCTCAGAGTGGCTGTATTTACGAAGGCTCCCATCAGAGGGTAATTGAAGTCATGTCAAATGGATCTTTTTGACATTTATACTATGATACACGCATTGAATGAAAAAATGATACCTTATTCACGGTGGAGCAATACTGAACTGTCAAAAAAATTGGCAAGGGGGATATACTGCAAAATGTCTTTAATACTAGACAAATTTTCCTATAAATGATGATTGATAAATGAAAAGCACTCTCTGGAGAACACAGGCCACCAGTTTTATTAACTCCATGCAAGTCTAATAACCCCTCGGGGCAGTTTCGAAGCACCGGCATTGTTGTGATGGTCTCTGCTGAAAAGGGACTTGGGGGAAATGCTGAGGTCATCTAATCCTTGACGCTTATAGTTCCGTTTCAGTGACATGGTAAACCAAAACAAACCTAGAAATCAGGAGAGACTTAGTGCTTCGCGCTAAATTGGTGTCACCGGTAAGCAAACAAGGTCCAATATAGGCGAAAAAGCGATTTCGACCGCTAACTAAACCAAAGCTTCTCGAAAGGCAGGTGTCTGCTATGGGTGGCTAAATCTGCGAGGGCTCACTGCAAGTGAATTATTAAAGTCACTTTCACTTTTGGCAATCATCCTAGTTTTCACTAACAAAGTAAGGGTAATTTTTATTGAAGTCACAGCGACCTTAAAGAATTTTACAGTGCCTGATTAGGAGAGCAGTGGTTTATATCATAAACCAAGGATATGAGAAATTGCTTTTATAAGTAACTTTAAGCAATTTGGAACATACCCAATACAGGGCACTTTCCAGTTGAATAAAATCTCCTGTTATATTTTGTCTCTAAAAGACGCAATTATCAAAAACCAAAGTTATGTTTACAGCATTTACTTTTATTGCCGAAGTAAGGAGGACCCATCAGAAATTATTTGCATCATCGTTCTTACCAGGTGAATAATGTGAAATCACTGGAAGGCTTAAGACGCTAAAAGCAGAAGAGTGAAAACAGAGAGCTCAGCAGACAAAGCTCATAATGAGGGGAAGAGGGGCAACTCATCACCCTGGTTTAGTGGGAGTCTGTTCACTCTTGTAGCCCTCCAGTTATTCTGTTTGTACTGGTCCGCCTTAGTACATCTTCAGAGATTGCTTCGGTAGTACAATCTCATATTACTAATTTTTCGCCAAAGCAGCTACATCACCATCTAGCTTGAGGTTCCAGTGTTCACTTGCTTAGTAGATCACTTTTGTAGTTTTCGAACAGTGAACTTGACCACTGACGTAATTAAGCAAAACAAGCTTTGATACCAAATAAAGGAAAATTTGTTTCAAATAATCTTATTCCAGACATAAAGTGTTTCCATCCTTATTAAAAAACCCGTATAGTCCCAGGTTCATCGATCTAAACTTGAAGGGTGCCACATATGAATTAATAATCACCCAAATTAAAAAATTAGGGTAAATCCGTAACAAGTCATTTGTGCCTAGCCCACAGGGTGCATTGTTCTCACAACTAAAAAGTGTGCCCACTTTCGATCCATCTGATCGCTTTGGTAAGTTCTTGCACAAATCGGACCTTTAATAACTACTATTTTGAGGTCATTAAGATTTTTGCAAGAATTTCAGATGTGGAAGGCATTTACAAAACAATAACGTGGCTACAGAAATAAACAAATTTAGGTTTACAAAACTGTGACCAAGGGAAGAGGAGTGGAAGGAAAATGAAATCAAAAGACAAAAAATAATTAAGTTTTACTTTCCCTCCTCTGCTGACTTTGGCCTACAATATTTCAGATTTTAACAAAGTTGGAAATTCCCTGATGGTAAAGGAATCAAAGTACTTCATATTCATCGGCCTACTACTGCTATGATAGTGGAACGCCTCTCCACAAACATCAACTTCATTGTTTAATGCTTCGAACTACTCTTGGCACATTTGATTTACGTCGTGACCGACGTATGAAGTTGGCTTCAATTCAATGGTTTCCCTACAATCAGTGAGCATAGGATGGTGTGTAAACAAAGATACTGGACTTCTACAAAAACTATCGAAACAGGAACAGCTCATGCTGGAGGCTGAAGTACTCATCCTCGATAGTGTCTGCTACTTAAAGGAATTGAATCTAATAATAAATGGACTTCAAACCTTTCAGCTTATCAAAAACGCCATCTTTTCAGAATACAGTAGGGAAAGCGATTTTCTCAATTTTGCAAAACCACTTTTTTTCAAGAAAAATTGCGCCGCTACTACCTGCCCGTGCATTTATTTATAAAAAAGCATGTCAGACAAAGGGGTGTGCATTCAGGCTCGAGGTTTAATGGAATTATGCACATATTTCATGCAATTGCTGAGAAATTCAATGCTGTGAACCACCATTTCTAATTAGAAGTTGTAAATCATCCTAAAAAATCTCTCGCGCGTGGATGGTAGTTTAATAAAAACACGAAAGCAAATGCGCCTGTCACATCCAAATGAATAAATTTACTATAAATCAAAGTTGTCATCCCTCAGGTAAATGGTTAGTCGTACGGCATTGCACTGATGGTTTTTTGCACATCACTTAAACGTTAGATACCGTCAAGGTGGCAATCATCTTAAGAGAAACATGGAAGTTCATGATTAACCGCTTGTAGTGAAACGCGCAATAAAGACAAATTATTTAGCCTATTAGAAGTTGTAGTCACCTTGTACCAACTTGATGTGCCATCGAGTAAAGGAAATAGGATGGTTTCCATTGATGGAAAAGGGGTCTAACATTCACTGGCCACTCGTTCATGTGGTCTAAACTAGGGAAACGAGAGCCTAAATTTCTCTTCTTGAAATTAATTCCATCACACCATGAGGCATTTACAGCCAAATTTTTCTTATCCTTCAATTGCGACCAAACCGTACTGTGAACCAATATTTATTTCCTTCCAGCATTCAGGTGAAAATGATCCCAAGATTGGATGTTCCTGTTGTGTGGCAACATGCTTCTCTGCTTGGGTGTGCAAATTTGCGCGTATTCATATACGAAAACCACTTTTTCTACGATCTTGGAGTCATTTCATCAAATGTCTTTCAATGGACCAAAATAAGCAAAATCGTAAAAAATGCCACCAAAAGGTACCCTTAAACAAAATTAAATGGAACGAAGTCGCTATGTGATCGAAAATTATGTCTGAATAATAGTCCTTAATGAAAGTGATATAAAAAGTATAATTTCAAGAGTTTCTACAAGATTAACAACCAATCCGCTTAGACAAAGCTGAAGGTGAGTTGTGGTGAGATGTTCCTCAACGTTATACGGCACAAGGTTTTATCAGACTTTGATTAATGTTTTAATGCGTGGAATACAGTCCATCCACATGAAAACATGTCCCCCCAGCTAGACTGTCTTCTCCAGCTCCCTCACATGCTGGGGGGCAGAGCTAATCCATCACGGCGTAGACAGTTCCCATAGCTGACATTTTCTGAGGGTCTGGTCTCACACGGATTTGGGGCATTAGTGACAGCCAACACAGCAACACCTGCGTCTCACATAAGGTTGTGGTGGCGGTGGTGTTGATGATTCAGCCCTGATAACATCCATCATCATCATCATCATCAACACCACCACCATTATCACTACCGTCAACACTGGTAGCAGCAAAACATCAGCTAACCGCTGTTGGGAAACCTCTCCAACTGTCATGCTTTTCTTCACTCCAATAACTAGTGACTTTTGGGCACGCGGATAGATTGGCTAACTTTCCCACTTTAGACTCTGTCTTGGCATGGGTTTATGTTAAAACAAAGCCGGAATATCTAATATCAAATTCTTTAAAATGCCAGACCAAAAAAGGGGCTTACAGAGGATGAAATAAAGCCATTAATCAGGTGAGTGAGTGATAATTCAACCACTCACTCTTTCGGATACGAACATTTTAATCGCTATAAGGAAAATAAGCTTGAAAATGAAAATTTTATGATAATGAAATGAAAACTGTGCATAAACATAAAAGCGATTATTTTAGGGAACCAAATCCAGCTGATTAAATGGACTTTTGTGGGAGTGAGTAGTCATAATGGCGACATAAATAAAGTAGCTTTATTAAATTCACTTTTGCCACGCCCGAATCATATATCCATACTCAATCATGCCATCCTTTTTGTCCACAAACTTCTTAATTATTTGATTTACCTCCTTCTCGGGCAGCGGTTCGTCAGAGGTCTCTGTGAGAATCGTTTTCATGTCCTCAACAGAAAGTTTACCTTTATCCAGCTTATCGAAGCAGAGGAAGGCAGCCCAACTTTGCGCCTCACGCTGTTGTAGATCAGGGATCCAGAGTTGTGCAGCTACCGCCAGAAATGTGTCAAAGTCGATAGTTCCTGTACCTTCCGGGTCCGCGGCGACGGAGAAGGCACTGATTTCTGCCTCGCTTGGGACCAATTTTAGCCATCGCAGGCAGTCGCCCAATCGGTCGGTTGCGATGGTGCCAAGGTTGTTGCGATCGAAGTAGCGGAAGGTCTTCCGCACCTCATTCACTTCGTGATCCATCATGTCCTCCACACGCATGGCTACGGCTACGCTGAATGCTCGCTTTTGGGAGTTTTGAAATCGCTCGATAAGCCCATGAATTTGAATTTGTCGTGATTTGTCACTAGTGGCTTTGGCATTTTGAATTTAGAAGGAAATCGCATCGCCCCTTGACGGCTAGTGGAGGTAGCGATAGTTGCTATAAAAACTGAAAGCTTTACCAGCCAATGCGTAATGAACAAAATCTTATCAATGAATCATTGACTTCGAGATCATCCCTCACTCGTGTATTGCAGTGAGCTTTTCAAAACCCCCAAAAAAACTTGTTTTTATTTTTAACGACCTTATAGCTAAAGCAGTTGGCTATTTATAACATTTAAAATTAATACAGAGCCAAAACACAATGACCTGGACTTGAGATGCACCAGGGTGAGTGAGCAGGCAAGTCACTATTGGAAATGCTTGCTCTTTTTTGGAGGTCCACTGTGGCTATTTTTGGTAATGTATTTATGCCCTATGCAATTATGGGCAATAAGAGAGCGTATATAGTGTGACAGATGAGCTCAAATGTTTGACATTTTAACAAACTTTACAATATTCATGAAGGTCTTTCTCTCAGGACCGACAACTTGATTGCGTTTAATAAGAATCGGACTTATTAGGTTAAGTTTAGATGACATATTGCGTACTCACTGTACCAGTGCTATTAAGTCATCTGCCTGACCGATGAGTTGGTACCCTTCAGGTAGTGGTCGACCTGTTGTGATGGTCTTTTGAATCTCTTACATGCGATATAGTCTTTAAAATGAGGTTTAGGCTTGTTCTTTAGGAAGCAGACACCTTAACCTCATGTCTCTTCTCATAATTGTTATAAAAGTACCTTCGCCTGGCATGACTTCATATTGTTCCCTTTCTGTCTTTCGCGTTTAATTCTAGTATCTCATCCGGGAGGTATGTTAACTTTTTCCATTGCGCAACTTTTCAAGGAGTAGAAAGAAAAACAGGTATAATGATTTCAAATGCCCCTTTCTTAAAACAGTATTTTATTCTAAAATTGGCTCCAAGTACTTAAATTTTAATATTTAGAAGTAAAATTGGTAAATCTTTTAATATCCTTTCCATTTATGACCAAAGTTCATTATTTACTGAAATTTTTTTTCGTCTCTCTCTTAATTTCAAGTGCTCTTTTAGGTTGCATTTGATGCATTGATTTGATGAATAAACTTACCATTTAATAACCATTCGGTAAACGCCGTCAAGGAGCGGTGGTGACTTGACTTGAATTAATGACTGTGGGGAGGTGAGGATCCGAGCATATGAAAGCCACTTATGTTGATGTAACAAAAATGGCTTTCCTTCCTTCTTATCCTTTAAAAATGTTTTATGGAACCTACCTTATTGCCCTTTTAGTGCAAGTGATCACCATCAACTGGTAAGCAACACATCATTTTTTTGTGGCTCCGAGTTACAAGAGGAGAACAAGATCACCACAGAGCATTTTAGTGAGTCGTGGAATATCAAACCTCCATAAGCTTACGCGACAGGGGTGCAGTAACGGACGTTAACGAAAAAGCTGCTGTCTTACATGAAATGTCAGAGTTCGTATACAAATTTACGGTATATTGCCGTAATTTGCTAGAGATTTTCCAGAAATATTAACAAATTAATAAGAAGGTAGTAAACGTCATGAATCTGAGCAAATCGGTTTGATTTCAACATTCCTGATTAGAATTTTCATAACTTCAGAAAGTCAGGGTTTCTCAATGCTGCGGAACGACTAAATATGCCATCCTACTCGCACCTAAGACAAATACCCAAAACATTAAGGTACTTAATTTGCAACTATTCGTATTCTAAATGTATTCGTAAACTTTTAACCAAGTGACTTTTTATTATTTGAATTCAATGCTTGACTTTCATTACCAGCTATTTCGGTATAATATTTTTTGTGCAATTATTCCAGATTTTGGAAGCTGCGCATTTATAATTAAACACAAGCACAGTTGATCACCATAAACCATTTTCGGCATGTCATTATAGTACCCCAAACAAAAAAGGAATCAAAGTTAAATGCAGCTATTTGGTACCCATTGCGAGGGCAGGTAAGAGAGTGTGCTTTCATTACTCTGAATAGCCCGACTAGGCAGGCACATGTCCTGTATGCTAGCTGCCATTTTAAACAACCCATATAAATGGGGTTCTAACTTTCTACTCGCTTGTATAGCGAACTTTGTGATATATAGATTGACTAAGATCGTTTTATAATGGTCAAAATATCTTATTTAAAACAGCTTGTGATTGCACTTTATTCGGTTTTAGCTGAGTGCTCAACTTTGCCCTACTTATAAATATTAGTAGCACTAATTTATCCATGATCTGTATGCAGTTTAATAAGACACTTTGTAAAATGTGGGTAAAGGTCCTAAAAGCTTGCCTCAACAACATTCCCTCAAGATGTCTAGACAGAGTAATTCGAAAATCTGTCACAACTTCTTGCGAAATAAAGTTCTATAAAGTGGCCACTCTCAACACTGAGTTAGTGAATGGTCATTTACTTTGCCGTTGTAGATCAGTCGCTAATGCATCGGCACAGTGAAAGGCGTTCTGTGGTGTTGGTGAGTGCTGTGTGCGCAAGCACTTACTGCACTCGAATTTACTTGCTGGCTTCGGGTATACCCTGCTTGTATTCACCACTCCGGTGTTTCTTCGGAATGATTAACCAATAAAGCTAATTTGTAGCAATTCCAAGCCGACGTTGTGTGGATTTAATAGAAACGCATTTACCGCATTTTAGGAATAAATTTTAAATTCAGTAAATTAAAAATTTTTCGAAGTTGTTGCCTCTCGGTATAATTCCTTCGCAGTCGAAAAATAAGGGGAAGCAGATTTCAGAGGTGGGTCCATTTTGTAAGACAAGTAAAAATGGAGTACTTTAAACAAACTCTCTCATTTCTGTAAAAGAAAGTGCAAAGCTTCACTTTGAACAAGCTTTTGTCCTCCAGTGGTAAAAGTTCTGTTTCAACATCTTCAACACAGCTGCAATTTTGATGTGCGACATTAAGCTGAGATCCCATGCACATACATCAAAAGTAAAACGTATTTTTAACCGGTAATGCAAGCCTAAACAGTCATGATATTCTTCTATTATTACGGAAGTTATATTGCAGTGCCTGAAGCAAATTCTTGTCAATTTACCATGCGCCAGATGTGTCGCTGCCGAAATCTCCTGATTCAAGTGTATTACCGGAAATGTGGCTACCCTGAAATCAGCCATCACCTCAGCAGTTTCGCTAGTTCAGTGACAAATGTATCAATTTTTGTTTGATGGCACAAGACATCAAAATAAAAAGGCGTAACAGAAATGGAATTCCAGATGATAGTAATCTCCCTTGTCTGTCAAAATGCAGACATGAAGTGCATTATCCGTGAAACGTGTAATACTGTAAAAGAACGAGACGTTTAACGCAAAATTCAGACCTTTCATTAAGCATATTTTTGGTATGATCTGGTAAAATTGAAGCAGGAAATGTTTATTGCACGCAAATTTGTGCTCAGATTTCTTACGTAACGCATTTGCAAGTTGACGATCTTTCAAAATCAGTTATTTTTGAGGATCTTGTGAAACCGAATTGTCGACACGCATTTAACCATTACTTTTGCTTCATGTTTGTTTGTCGGAAGTTTGTAGATTTTATTGCAACCTTAAATAGATCTAAAACACACGCTAGTTCCAGAATAAGTTAGTCAAGCATTTCCCTACTGGCTGTCACTAAATGAAATATGTTAAACTGGAACTACAAAACTTATCGTTTTTATCCTCATGGGTGCTTAATACTTTTTTTGGTACAAAAAAGGTCAGAGCTAGTCAGATCATCAATTTGTTCCGATTTTCGATTAATTATTCAGAGTTGGTTAAAAATAAAAGGGAATATTGGGTCGCTTTAAATTTTTCAGTAAAAGGATTATAAAGTAAGAAGCACTCTCCCATGAGTAGAAGATAGTATGTACATCCCCTGCTTTACCATGCGTTGAAAAGCTAGAGACGAAGGAAAATATTCCTCATAGGGTATTAGTCAGAGTGAGCCTGGTTCATGAATCATAAAAACCAGCTTAGTATGCCTCCTGTTGCAGTATGCCACGCTTTGGAGGAGCGGGGCGCAGTGTCGCGGAGAGAGTGTGCCGCGTAGCATTTAATTGCCTTCAGCGATGGCGTAGAAGTGATGGGAATGTTAACACCAAACGATGGCACTAAAACTCACTTTAAAAATTATCCGTAGTACTTTAACAGCATCCATTAGAATGTGTAGTATGACGTTTAAGGAAGACCTAAAATTTAAGGTATTTGTAGTTGACAAATGTAGTTAAGCACAATGACAGCGATAATTTTAGCTCTTCCATGAAATATATGGCAAATTCTTGAAGAAAAGGTATTGTTCGCAGTTGTACGGTAGTTGCCGGACTCGTTTCTATGCCAACCAAATAAACTGAAGACCCGCCGTAAAGCAAAGTGTAAAATGCTATTAAAACATTGGTTTGCTTTTCCATTTGTAAAGTAAGAAAAAAAGAATTCATTCCGTCTTTCGTTAAATGTATGACGTAATTTTAAAAGGATTAACATGGATGATCGAGTGGTAGATTCCTTAATGCCAAAATCAGTGACTCACTTTCAAATATCATTTTCAGGTAGTTCTTCATTTAAATTTGGCTAAATAAATAGTACAAAAGCGTAACTGTACAAGACGTTATATAATAAATACAACGGAAAACCGCATCAGGCAATCCTTAATCGGTGTTTATTGCTGCACGACTCCGAGTGGTTAAATTGGGGCGATCAGATCTTCCATCACTAGGCGAGGTTAGTGCGGTTAGTACGTCTTGATAAACAGGAATTTAAAGCTTTTACATTATTAATTACATAGAAGAAATTAGGTTTTGTAGATGCAAGGAATCGGACCCTAACTTGCAGTTTGTTTACTGCAAAATAAATGGACATTATTTCAATTAATATGCAAAATTTACCGCGCTATGTAAAAACGGAAGGAACTCACATTAATATCACAGGGATGTGGCCTTTGGTTTAATAGATTTTCTAAAGGGGAAAGAGCAAAGGACCTACCACTGAGGATTGCAAATCTCAAGCAGCAGCAATAAGAGTGGTCCGCAATATCAGAGTAGGACCACACTATGGCTCTCAGTCACTGGATATCTTGTGACGGAGTAGTAATTACAGAAGCACATCGTTTTGATCTTAATGATAAGCCACACTTGTTAGCTCATTTGGAGGCATGAATCACCTACATTAAATGATGGAGTTTAACCAAATCTGAAAGCATTTCAAATGTGTTAATGATGGCTCCCCATTCAAAACGCAGCGGCCAGATGCAAAATTTCTTGCGTTTTCACCAGGGGAGGAGCGGCTTTAAACGCTGAATAAGATAGGCATAATTTACCCTGATTTTAACAATTACTGTCAGTGGGTGTAGGGATGCATTGTTTTTTTATAACTTCCGGCAATTTTTCGTTGATACGCTGCTTATGCCTACTCACAAGTACTATTGTTAATGGTTCTAGTGCGCAAATAACATCGCAATTCTGGTTGGACGTCCCAGGTTTTGCATGATCACTTTTCCGCTCGATGTGACCATTATGCAATTTCTATTCAAAGCCTTCTTGCCTTCGAAGCCAATGTGTGTTTTCAATAAGGGGTTATCCGCAGTTTTTCGTAATCTTTACCTCTACATGTCTTCCTGAGAAGTTAAATTAGAGAAAGGGTGCATAAATTTTGATAATAGATGTGGATGTACCAGCGCAATCCTCAAGGAACCAATGTATCACGAACTTGTTTTGTTATTTACTCTGCATCGATGCTTACTTTATCGGAGTCGAATAAAGAATTATTATAAAAGTTAGCAGAAACCAAGAGGCATTTGCTTTATCCCCTCAATAAATGCTGAGTTATAAGCTAAAGTAGATATTAAAAACTCTCTTATTATGCATCACATGAGCCGTACTTTTATTTACACACAACCCTTATTAATAAGGTAAACGCAGAAGGATAAATTTGGTGGTTAGAATGGTCATGGAAATGCACTTTTAAGAAGAGGCATGACAACAGCGACCTTACGCGGGACTTGACAATTGTCAAGGCGAAAGTGAAGCTGAACGGCTGTACCAACCAGCCACCTTTTCGAATGCCACCCTAACATTTTCTCCGATCACAGGTCGCTGGATTCAGCTAATTAGGGAATTGTCATTTCTGCAGACGAGTGAATACGAAAATTTAATTTTTATTTTTTTAATGCTCCAGTAGGCGCATGTTGCTTTTAAAGCTTCTTCTGGCATGATATTGAAATGTGGAAAATTAATCACGGTGACGTTTGATTCCACTTCTTTTTAAAGGTCTACTTTTTTGGTTGCTTTTAGAGGAGTAAAACCTCGACATTAATTAGTATTTGCTTTGGTAATAATTGAGATGCTCACCACTGGTCGACCTGCACAAATTGGGCCCAGTATGGTGCCCGATTCACGCATGCATTTGTGTAATGGCGCCCCAAAATGGGTAAGAATGGTTTATTCAAGGGCTTGAGGCGGAGTTAAATGCAATGTAAGATACATATATCAAATTGCCGCGTTTTTGCCGACATATGGTTAAGTGGCTAAATTTGCGGCTAGTGGATTTCGTCTCTGGACGAACAATTACTAGTTTTGAGAGGAGAGAGGTCTCATGGTGTCTTACTATTCACCCTAATAATGGCTGTCTGATAGACAATAGCGTGTATGACCCTGAAACATCTCCTTTGGTTCGATATCAATTGGGATCAGAGAAATTAGTTATTTTGGCAAAAAATCCAAGAATAACGAGTGTTGTTGGTGAAATTCGCGCTGATTTCCCTTAAGAATTGGGATGCACTGGTGGTTTAGGTAAGATTTATTTGCATTGTAGACTTTGCAGTATTTGTCGCAATGAGGTTTTTGCAGAATGATATCTTAAATGCGAAAATATTTGCTTCTTGAACCTCGGTAGAGGTATGGACGTCCTCCGTCAACAACTAATCGAGCATGTGTTTGCGCATATTTTCGTGACCGCAATGCATTAATCTTACTGCTGCTTAGCTGAACCTCAAACCAGTGTTAACAGGTGGATAACTTCTATGAACTTGGGGCAAAAGTAACCGGTTACTTGTTAACGATATATTTTGAAAGTATCAACTTCTACCTTCTCGAATTTAGTGTAAATGTAATACGATAGTGGTTTATCCCTCGGCATTGTTGAGGCGCCACTTTTGTACTTCGAATTAGCCCCCTTGTACCTTGCTGGGTGAGCTGGCCTTTTGAGCCATGCCAATAGCCCAGACATCTTCTCTGTGCTGAACATATATTCTGCTCGAGTATTGTGTCTTCTTTCGTCTTCAGGGAGTCTCGGGACGCTACAGTAAATTGTCTTCACATTCAAACCAACGTTTTTTACAAAAGAATGTGGTATAGTCATAATTCAAAATTTTCTGCGGCTAAAGATACTGAGACTTTTGTAAAATCCCTCTAAAGCCTTCTCCGAGTTTCGTGCAGTAGATTTTTTAGCCATTACTGTGATATACGGTTCAACACTAGGCCAGAATAGACGTTTGACTTGTTCGAAATGCACCATTTTTCATGTTTTACTAAAACTTTTTCATTTTTAAGTGTGCTTTTTTATTTTAGTCACAGGTAAAACTTTTTTCATTTTTATTTGACGCCAGTTTTGAAACGGAAGCAAAGTAAACGGCCTTACTCTAGAGACCGTCGCCAAAGTGAAAATTTTTATTTATGGTAACCACTTGACATAAAAGGAACGTCGATTCTCTTTGGACAGTTGTTTAAAACTCAGAAGATTATAATATTTATACCACTGCCACTCACGTTTATCCTCAATCCACAACATAAAGGACTGCGTCGGTCAAACCCTGCCCCTCTCATCCGGGTGGGGCATGATTCCCAAATAAAGCCACTGAATTATGCAGATAAGGCCGATAACTGCGCTGTCTAGTGCGTAGATAGGCCAGATCTCACCTCTGCATGTTTGGTGTGCCTTCAGTTAGCAGGTATTTCAATCCCATGTGTTGGTTTAAAGTGTTAATATTACCTCAATTCCTGTAAATAAAACTAATCCAAAGTGAGAAGGAAAGCGAACACTGACCGCCAAGTTGGGAGTTGTGACTAAGGCTAGAAGAAAAGCCAATCGGTTTGATGAGAGGCAAATGGTGAAGTTGTGTTTTGTATTGCAAAATTTGGGGTATTAAATTCACATTCATTTCTGAGATAGATTCTGACGCTTTGGTAGCCTCGGGAAATAATTTAGCCAATGTTGAATTTCTCGCCCTGACACCCCACTTGGTTGCACTGATCCTCTTTCATTTTAAAGTGGGGATGACTAGATTTGTTGTGCATCAATTGGAGCAAATAACTAAATTTGAACCAAATAGCAAGGGGACGTGGCCTATAAAGTCTCGTTTTCAGGAGTATTCTTTAGGATTATTTTCTGCTAATAGTCAAGCTTCAGTCCCAACCAGTATAAGAGCATAGAAACGGCGTTTTTGTCCAGTAACAAGGAAAAGCGAATCCAAGCACAGAAATGGTGCCATAAGTTAATCACGATTTGTTACCTTTGCGTTAATGAGTAAGTACAATTAGCAATATTGACCCAAAGTTAGCTTTCTTTCCTCACAAATGACAGGTTAAATGCTTTTTGCTAGTTCCCAAAACGCTACAAAGCAGCACCAATGGTAACCAATCATAATGGCAAAAAAGTATGATAGGACCTTTTGGCGTGTGGTGTGGCGGTTCCACTTCTATGCTCAACTTTCCTTCATCCTTTCAAAAGGCGCGTCCTCATGGAGTGGCGTGTGTGCCAAAGGAAGCAATATACTTTGAAAATAAACAAAAGTGATGCTTGGGGTGCGGTATACAGAAAAGAAATACTTATATTTGATGCACACAATCAAGTCTGTGCTATGATATCTTCCGATTAGCAGTGTGGAAAAACTGTGGATCTATCTTTAGCAACGTTCATGAATGTAATAACGCCTGTCTATTAAAGCAAGCGAATCACTTCACATGCGAGTCATAATGAGGCAAATGGAAACACGAGAGGCATTCCATTTCAACCTAGAAAACGCAAGTTTATGTAGGAAGAGAACAAATTTTATGGCGCAAAACTGTCTTTCTCTCATCACATTTCCCGATCACATTCACACATCCATCTTGGCTTTTGGCTAATAAGTGACTGCCTTTGATATAAAAAGATCTACCAGTACGGCTAAACTATCCTCTCATAACCCGCCTACTTAGGCATATAGGATGTGGGACTTTCTCATATAGCAGTCTTTATGAATAATTTCACAGAAGGATCCGTCGTCTATCCATTATGGCATTGGATTACGCGTCAATCGGGCGTCTAGAATCAGGCGCTTAATACGCTGGCTAAATGCTCACAGAATGGACTGCTAAGACTGGGACCTGGGAACCACCACTACCCAGGTTTTCTCTGACGCACAGACATGCCGCCGTCTTTGAAGAGGTCACCCTCAAACCACTTAATTGTCCTCCTACTGCCAAGTGGCTGAGTTGCTGAGTCTTCCATCACTATACGTACCGTATTTGAAGCCTTTGGTCCTATGAACAAGTTACCAATAGGCTGAAGAAACTCTGTCCTCATTAGTCCGGGTACACGCTCCCTTGGCTAGTTAGGCGCATCATTCTGCTTCAGACGTCATAAAATAAGTCGAATCATGAAGTGGAAGAGTAATATATGCAAACCAAGCGCAATCTGTTAAGTTGGAACAAGCTCATTTGAAACGGATAAATAATGGGCTGGAAGTCACGGAGGTCTTATACAATCGTGTGAGGACTGGTGAGCAATGTGCATGGATTGCGTTGTAAACAATGTCAACCTCAGATAACTGCGGTTTCAACGCTGCTACAATTAATAAGCAAATAGAGCAGAGGTCTGGGAGATCGCTTTTTAAGAAGACATTCGAATTTGCGGGAAGCTAATTTTTCAACTTTTGCCCCATTGGTCTTTTTGTATCTACTTATTCAATATAAAAAAAAGAGCATAAGAACTATTAAGGTGAGGCGCCGCTTGCAATATAATTGCTTCTGAGTAAAAATACTCAATCGTCAACGCATCGTCGTAAGTTTTGAATAAACTAAAAACCTTAGTCAGTTGGAAAACACTGAAAGGGACTTTTAGATAATGGTCTTCCATAGCTATATGAATAAGAGTTTATCGCCTGGTAAATGAAGGCCAAATGGATAAGAAACACCCTATCAAAAAAGTTTTACTGGTTTCAATCTAGCTCAACACAATGACTTGCTGGAACTTGTGAGGACCCGTAAAATGATACTTTTTTTATGAATTATGAAGCATAGACGCGGGTCGGCATACCGGTACGGTATTGTTCACTATGCCCTGCACCAATTTTCTCTTACTTTGAACTTCCTTACCGCCAATTCCCGGTTAAATCTAATGGAAGTGATTTGAAGTCGATTCAAAAGCGATTGAAAGTTCCTGTCAAGTTTATTGCAGCACAGTTTGCGAGGGTGCGGTTCGTGGTAGCACTTGAGAAT